AGTCCCAGGTCGGGGCCCTAGCAGCCTTAGCATCGGGCAGGACGGCAGGGCAGGACTGCACCGTCAGAGCCACTCCCCAACCATGCTTGGCGGAGCTTCGCCGAGGCTTGGACGGGGAAAGTGCGCATCAAGGATTGCTGTGCCGTTCTCCGGGCAGAGTCCGACGTGCTTAGCTGCACTGTGGTTCCCGTGCCAGGAGCTCGCGTCTCAGCTGACGACCAACAGCGGCACCACCCGTCTAGAACTTCATGGGCAGCAGATCACAGCGGAGAAATGCCAGGCGCGGTGCGCACAGGGACATTGCAGCCTTAGACCGGTATGCTCGCAGTTGACGATCAGCCGTACATTCACCAGAAACGAGAATTAATGTCTTTGTGGCTTGAGTCCCGTCGCGAGGCTCTCACAAACGTTCCAAATGTTCTGACCATTTCGGATGTACGAATTTTCAATCACCTACCTCAACTTCGGTAGAAACCAAGCCGGAGACAATGAGCCCGGCCCCGGCGTTTGTGCTGGCACTCGCAGATGCGCTGAAGTCCAACTGGACGGTCACCCACGTCTTTGCAATTTCGACCCTGCGGTTCCCCTGAGAGGCACTCGCAGATGCCCTGAACTCCAATCGCACCGTCATCCGCGTCGACCTCAAGTACAACTACATCGGAGACCAGGATGCCAAGGCCGGGCGGTTCCCACGGGGTCTTCGCTGCTTGCAATTTCGACCCCGCCTTTCCCTGAGAGGCACTCGCAGATGCCTTAAAGTCCAACCGTACGGTCACTCACGTCAACCTCGATTACAACGAGATCGGAGACGAAGGCGCCAAGGCCAGGCAAACCCCAAAGAGTCTTTGCAGCCTGCAATTTCGACCCCGGCTTTTTTCTGAGAGGCATTTGCAGATGCTTTGAAGTCCAACTGTACAGTCACCTACGTCAACCTCTATGGCAACAGCATCGGGGACCAGGGCGCCAAGGCCAGGCGGTGCCCACGGGGTCATTTCGACCCCGCGAATCCCTTGAGAGGCACTCGCACATGCTTTGAAGTCCAACTGTACGGTCGCCGACATGGACCTCGGATTCAACGAGATCGGAAAAGAGGGCGCCAAGGCCAGGTGCTGCCCACGGCGGGGTCTTTGCAGCTTGCAGCTTCGACCCCGCTTGTCCGTGAGAGGCGCTCGCAGATGCCCTGCAATCAAACAAGACCGTCACCTACATCAACCTCGATGGCAACAAGATCGGAGACGAGGGTGCCAAGGCCAGGCGGTGCCCGCGCGGGTCTTTGCAGCTTGCAGTTTCGACCCCGCTTGTCCCTGAGAGGCACTCGCAGATGCCCTGAACTCCAATCACACCGTCATCCGCGTCAACCTCAGAAACAACAAGATCGGAGACGAGGGCGCCAAGGCCAGGCGGTGCCCACGGGGTCTTTGCAGCTTGCAGCTTCGACCCCGCTTGTCCGTGAGAGGCGCTCGCAGATGCCCTGCAATCAAACAAGACCGTCACCGACATCAACCTCGATGGCAACAAGATCGGAGACGAGGGTGCCAAGGCCAGGCGGTGCCCGCGCGGGTCTTTGCAGCTTGCAGTTTCGACCCCGCTTGTCCCTGTCAGGCACTCGCAGATGCCCTGAACTCCAATCGCACCGTCATCCGCGTCAACCTCAGAA